CATCAGAGCAGCACGTCAGAAACGGGAGTTTTGCAGGAATTCCCAATATTGTGGAAAGGAGTCCCCTGAAATGGTTCTTTCTGGCAGGAGGGTGGTGATCTACCTACGTCAGGGGCTGAGCTGCTGCAGGTTCCCTGCTCTGCTCCCTGAGCCCTTCCTGGGGTTACAGCCTGTGGGAATGTTTGTCCAGGGGGAAAGGATGGGGACAGGATTGCTGGGACAGTGCTTCTTTTGTCCAGAGGGTCCTGGGTCAGCTGGAGTTGTCCTGCTCCCTTCTGCACAGCCAACCCCTCATCAATGAGGAGAGATGGGGGGGGAAGGAATGGCTGCTGATTCTGTGTGTGAAATGAAAACTGGGCCCTCGAGCTCTCACACCATTTCTGCCATTTTGACCTGCCTTTGTTTTATTTTACCAGAAGTGCAAGGTTTGATTACACAACAGGTACCTAAGCCAGGACAATGAGTGATGAATGATGAATGAGTGAAAAAACTTCCCCAGGTTCTTCAGAGTGAATGATGTGGAAGACAGGGAGCAGGATAGGCCAGGCTGGGTAGGGCACTGAGCAGCCTGGTCTTGTGGAATGTGTCTCTGCCCATGGCAGGGGGTTGGAACCAGATGATCTCTAAGGGCCCTTCCAACCCACCCCATTCTGTGATTCTGTATCATTCTTTATTCTCCATCTGAGGGCTTGGTGTGGGACTGGCCTGAAGTGCCTCAGCTCGAAGCAATACAAAGTTCACTAATCAATGGAGAGGCTTTAAAGGTGTTTTGGAGTAATTATCCCTTTTTCCCAGAGGTTTTGAGGATTGCTGGCTGCATCTAAGGATGCTACACAACCTCCAGTGCCAGGTGTCCTGAGCATCTCCTGCTTGTCTGTGCTGCCTTCCCTGACACCAGGCTGTGGGCAGGAGGTCGGTGTTAGAGGGGTCTCATCCCTGTGGGGCTGAAACAGTGACTGGAGCCACGTTCTGCTTGTGTCAGAGGACAAACTTGAACTGAGGTTGCTGCACATTCTTGCCCTGCCTGCCCCAGTGCCTTTGCTCAGGTCCTGCAGACTGGAACACTTCCTGTGCTGAAAACTTCTGTGCAAACATGTCGTGGTTCGGGTTTCCTGCTACTGAGATCTGTCTGCTGGAGCCTCCTCCGTGACAAGTTTACACTAAATCTTCCCATGGCTTTGAACTTTGTCCTCTGTTCCTCTCCCTTCTCCTCCAGCCTGTCCCATCTGCCCATCCTGTCTTGACTCTTGCATCACAAACCCCGTGTTCCATCTGTTTTCCAGGGAAGTTATAAAGCACCTGCTTTTGGCAGGTGATTAAAAGCAAATAGTAATAAAGGAATTAATGGGACATGGGAATATGCAAAGAGGGCTCTGAGCTACTCGCTACCTGAAATGGTATAAATAAAAACGTGGACTATTTTAGCTGCCTGCACTGCTGCAAATGTGATTGCCATTTTTAATTTGATTTTCCAGCCAACTCTTGTTCGTGAAGACATGGGCTGTTTTCCTTTGCTGTCCAAGAACTCATGGTGTGAAGGAAGAACAATAAATAAAGATGGGAGCAGCCCAGGAAAACTGCAGCCTAAGACGGAGCAAATGTGCATGGTGTTCTTTTTTCTTTTTTTTTCCTGCTGAAAAAGCAAGTATTTGATTATGTTTCTCTTTGTTTAGACTCTGTATTGAGAGATCAGCCTAAGAAAGCCTGAATCAATTAGAAAACAAAGAAATGTTGTCAAAAGGCTGTATAATGAGTTTCAGTTTGAAGAGACCCAGTCCCAGTGGATTGAGCCTGGATGTGTGAGGGCACAGCCCCTGCCCCTCAGGTGCTTGTCTGGGGTCCCTGCACTCACTGTGTCATCAGTGGAGAGCTGGGGGCTTCATCCTCAGTGGAACACTGGCTCTCCAGCAGAACATCTCCTGCTCCTGTGGGAATGCTTCCTGGTAGAGAGCTGAGATTCAGGTGCAAAATCAGCCACATATTCACCAAGCGAGAGACAAGAGTCAGTTCCCCCCTAGCTGTGCTTTGGCAGGGAATTAAATTCCTGCAGCTGGATTTGGCACATGTAGGTTAAAGCATCTCTCCAAAGGCCACTGTATCCTGCAGTGCATATTCCAACCCCTCCAGTGTGCTTTCCCTGTTAGGCTCTAGTGTAAATACAGCTGCTGTCACGGGTCAGTGCTGCCTGTCACATCCTTGGTACTGTAAAACTACAGTTGTCCAACATGACGGGGATGGTCCCTTTCACCCCTGTGTGTCCATGTTCTCTTTCTTTCCCCCTCCTCTCAAAAAGGGAAAAACAAAAAAAAAAAGAATTTGGGTGGTCTTAAGCCCATACTCATATAATTCTAAAGCCCAGGAGTCAGAGCAGCCAGGAGGCCCTGGGAATCTTTTTATTCCACAGCTGTGCTGTCACAAAGGCGTTGCCTTCCTTGAACTTACAACTGAAGGCACTTTAAATAGAGGTTTCAGGAACTTCTTGAAACTGGTATTTATTTCTTGACTTTTGTCGTGAAAATGCTTGTTTGGCAAAGGCAACAGATGCCCAGAGCTGGGCTGAGCCAGTGGCTGCTGTGCCAAAAGGTAGCATATGATCCATGCTGGGAGCATCTTTGGTTCACTGAAATGAATTTTGGGAAGTGTGGAAAAGAAGGAGCAATGTGGGAATGTTGGGTCTGTGATACTGGGGCAGGGCAGGCTCTGGATATATGTTGTAATTAGTTTACTTTCTCAACTATCAGCTTGTCTGAGGTTACAGTCTGGGGTCAGTCAAGCCAGGGGAAAAAAAAAAAAAAAATCAATCCTTTCTAATGCTCTGCTTTTAAAAGCACACCAAAGCTTTTGCACTTCTTTAAAGGCCAAGCTGAAACTGGAGAGTTTTGGTTTTTTCAGAAAGTTTGTATAAAAACTTACATATTCCATGTATAAAGAGTTTGTTCAGCGTGTGTATTGAACAAACCTCATGTTGTAGGGGATTATTCCTAGGGAAAACATTGGAAGCCTGGGAAATTGGAGATAATGATGTCCTGAAAGAAACTCTCTTGACATGGTAATATGAGCAATTGCAGAATCTAAATAATCTTAACTCTGCATAGCAGGTGACCCTTTAGTATGACTTCCAGAGCCACTGGGCACCTTTAGTTCTAAGCAAGTCAGTGGAAACTGTGGATGTGCAGGACAGGAACTGAGGCTCAAAAAGTCTTGTTTGTTCCCCTGTTTCTTCCCTGGGAGAGATTTGGGTACTGTGGGTCAGTAGGGAAAACCTGGGGTTACGATGAGGTTCTCTCCCAACCCTCTCTCTCCATCCTCTGTGCTGCAGATCTGTGCCCACCCCAAGGCAGAGCTCAGCAGGCAGCCACTGCTTCCACAATCCTGCCTTTATTTGCTGTGCAACGAGCATGGAATTTTCTTTTCATTACTCCATCATTCATGACCTGGTGTGGTGGCTCCAAGAATCACATAACCTTATCCTGCACCCACCTTGGCATGAATGGTTTAAATCAACATTCCTGCCGGGGGGGGGAAATCGTTGTTTGGGAAATGGGGAGCATCCAGTAGGAGCGTGTGCTGGGGTGTTTTTCCTGCTGAGTCTCTCCAAGGCTTCAGATCCCTGTCTAAATACAGGTCCCTAACACAAGCCAGGCTGCTTTGGTGGGGTGGGCAGTGGGTTTGGATCACTCCATCAGGGGCTGCAGCACCAACCTTCTGTTGTGCTGGGGATTTCTGCAGCAGGAGAGCTCTGCTCTGCTCTGCACACACAAAAGGTGAGATTTCATTCAAACTGGGATAAAGGCTCAATTTTGAGTGGGAATGAGGTTCCTGAATATACAAGAAGCCAGGCTTTAATCTCTGTCTCAAACCTGGAGCTTCTTATTGCCCCAGTGGCTGCACTGTAAGACCCTGGGAGGTTACAAGAAGTGAGGCTGTGAGAGAGACAACATTCATGGTGCAGTAGTTTGGAAGAGTGATGATTATTATTTTACTTTTTTTTTATATAGGACAAACAACACTTACAAGAGTAGTCTTGTGGAGAAGTCAGTATACAGGAGGCATTCTATTTTGGGATATTGAGATGATAAAGATGCTTAGGATGTCTAGTGAAGTGTCAGTGTGTGACACTGGCAACTGCTGTTTGTAAGATGAGGATAATAAAGATAACTGTCTTTTGGGTCCATCTGTCTTGGAATTTGCCTGATAAAGCTCTATCACTGCTCTTACATCAGGCAGTAACATCGATAGTGCTAAAATTTGATTTTCAAACCTTTGCCCACCTGCAACACTGTGAGGAAAATGGATCATTTTGATCATCCTAAATACAATTTGCTGAGTTCTTTCCAAGCACATAATCCTGATACAATGCAAGGGTTTTTGTTGGGGCATTTTTCAATTCAGACAGAACAAAAGCACAGACCACTTGGAGGTTGAATTATCACTTGCAGCTGCACTGATAAAAGAGCAAACACTAAATGCCTCTACAGTTGTGAATGCTTTAGAAGCAGTGAAGTTTCTCTAAAGCAGCTGCTTTCTCCACTGTTATCTGGTCTCTCATGGAGAGCAGTATCTCCTCCTTCCTGGGGCATTCCTGCATCTGTCTTATGCACATAACACGGATCAACCGTGGGGACAACAGCAGGTTAGAGCCCGGGGTCTGTTCCCAGAGAGATGTCCTACTCTTAGCATCAGGCTCGAGCTTCTGCTCCAGAGTATTCAAATCAAATTATCTGTTGGGATTTGTTATTTTGTCTGGGGTTATGGGCTTTCAGTCTCTTTGTTCTCAGTAGTAAATACTGAATAGTTCTGTACATAGAAAGGATACTTCTGAAAGAAGAGTCAAATGCATGGAAACTGGGCCACTTCCCTGCTTTCACTGATACTTGGAACGTGTCATAGCAGTGTTTCTGGGATCTACTTGGAGTCTTGAGCTGAAATCCATCAGTTTTCATTTAGTATTAACCAATATTTTTTTTCTTTTTTTTTCTTCCCCTCCTCGTGGTACACAGACGGAGATAATGCACTAAAAAAGCCTGTGTGAACTCAACCTCCTGGACTCTCTGCAGTGAAGATCTTGATGTTCAGAGGGAGTCAGAAGAGAGAGGACTCCTCAGCAATCTGGGCTGTGGTGTTTTCCTACAAGAAGCAGTAGGATCTGTGCTCCTGCTCCGCTCCCATTCCTTCTCACCTCGCCGCTGACAGTCGCTATCTCAGCCTGGAGGTGAGCCAACACCAGGGCCACTTTGTGAGTCAAGTGTCAGGACATGGCACGGGGTGATAGGGCCTGAAATCTTCCTGGGCCCTTAGAGATAACAAAGCCAGGTGCTCCTGAGAGCCAGAGTTCAATTCCCATCACCTCCCGCCAGCCCTGGAATCTCGGAAGGGTGAGCGGAGAGGCCGCGCGTGTTGACAGGTCAGAGGAGGGGTTTGCTCTGAACATTGACTTTCTGAGGAGTGGGAGAAGGTTGGCTGCATCCACACACTTGCTCCAGACTATTCCTACATGTGTAGCTGCTTTGAAGGGCCCACTTCTGTGCTATCTGGGCACTGTAACCGATAGTGGTCACTGAGAGTGAGGACCAGGAGCCAGGCTCCCTAAGGATATAAATCCCAGTTGGGCAGGGGTGGGACCCTGGGCCGGGATAAACACAACACCATCGAGGGGTTAATCAGCATTTAGAGCTCTCATTAGCACCCTCCACACTCCAAAGCCCTTGTCAAAGCAGTGCTGGTCTGTCGTGTCTTAAATTTGTTATGTCTAATCAGCTATTGACAAAAAAACTAATGGTGAAATGGCCAACAATATTGTTACAGTAGGTAAAACAAATAGTTGCTCCCCTGGGTCATTTGCTGAAAAATCAGACTCGGTTCAGCTCAAACTGTTTGCAGCCAACCTTGTCCAACTCGGCAAACAATTTGAACCAAACTTTCCCACCCTGGAAGGAAGAGTGAAGTAAAAGCTGTCACTTCAGCGGGTTTTACGTGAAGTGCTCAGGCTTTGTTTTGAAACGGGGTTCTAAGATCAGGTTCAATTAAACTTAATAATAAATAAAATTCTGAAAGTAAAGAAATAGAAACCCCCCACTTGCCATTTGTGAATGCAAAGAAACATTTCTTTTGGTCTGAAATGTGTTTTCTCCCACATTCACTTTTCAACAAGCAAACAGAAACATTTTGGTTTTACAGTGACCCTGAGCAATTAGAACGAGCAACCTGGAGAAATAGTCCTTAGGTCATTCCCTGCTCCAGGCTGTGGGAGATCAGGCCTGTGTGCTGATGCCAAGGGCTGAGGCTTCGTGGGGAGCTCCCTTTGTGCTGAAGGAGCAAAGTTATCTGTCCCTAACTCAGTGTCCCCAATCAGGGCTGTAAATCACCCCCAGGACTCCCAACCCTTGTCACAGCAGTGCTGGGACAAGGATTTGGTGCTGCCTTCTCTTCATGGCCCATTTGTTTATATTTTGCATGAGGGACCGAGGGTGTCCCCAGCATTGTTATCAGATAATGCCACAAAGTGGGATAAATGAGGGGAGGTGGAAGAAAGGAACTTTTACAACCCATCAGCACAGCAGAAATTCGCCTCAGTGAGAATGAGGCCTGAGAGACACATATAAAAATAACTTAGGATGTGTTTAGTTAAAATAAGACCAAATCTCAGCATTTTGGCCAAGCAAAGTGGAGGAATCAGATCCTGACTGCACATCTGCAGCCAGGAATATTTTGGACACGGACCTGTTAAGTGATGAAATGCGTGTTATGTGTGGAACCTTGTTTAAATCTGAATGTTAATCCCACTCAGAAGATTTACAGAAACTGTTTGGTTCTTAATACCTCTTCTGAAGATATATCTCCACAATCCAAGTGTGTTTATTGCTCAATAATAAACAGTGTCGACAGGAAACTCATCCAGGGTAAACATGATCCTTATGTTTTACTTCTGCCTTTTCATACGAGGTCAATGCCCTGCTACAACTTTCTTCTCCAAATTCTTACTAATTCAGTTTAAATGTTTCCTCAGTGTCATCAAAGAGTAGAAAAAGCTTAATTTAGCGCTGCAGTTTTTAGGCCTGTGAAATACTGAACAGGTAAATAAGTCTGTAGAAACACCTTCTATAATTATTATTGTTATTTAATTCCCCTGCTACTCATAACTCTTGTACAGGCTGTTTTCTTCTGATATGTTAAGCATTATGCTCACTAAAGTGAGATAAAACTAGCTCAGTAAAGTCAGATAAAATTAAATGTTGTCAGTGTATCTTGTTCACATCTCCTCTTCAAAACACTTGTGATGAAAGACAACCTTCTTGCTACATCATAAACGACATTTTCTTGCTTTTTCATTAAAAATAGAGATGTTAATCTCTTGGAATTTTGATATTTTTGTTCTACCTCTTTTTATCCTTTATTGATACTGGATGCAATGGAACAAGGGTGCTAAAAAGTTGCAGAAGATGAAAGGCAGTCTAGGAAACTTAAAAAAAACCACAACAAAACCTCCCAAAACAAAGTGAGAAAAAGCTGAAATAGAAAGCCAGGAAAGATACAATCAGCAACAGTGATGTTAGACATCCTTCCATGTTTTTTGAAACCAGTAAATGTTTTACATTAACATTTAATTTTCATAAATGTTGTTTTGTGAATATTTTAAACAAAAATTAGTTCCATTAGGGAATGAAAAGTGCTTCAAAATCCCCAGCCTCTGTCTAGAATTTTGGTATACCATAGAATTCCAACATCTTTTAGTCAGGACTTGGAAAATCAGCATTTAGCCCTTTTATGTCTATTATTAACCAAAATGTTTTTCTTTTCAATATTTAATTGCAGCCTTATGAATTTGTAGACTCTGGGAATGAAACAAGACTCGTTTCTGCCCTGTGTCCTGCTGGAATTCTTGGACCCTGAAGAACAGCAACGTAAGTTGCAGGAACCACTTGATAAGATCCACAACTCAGGACTTTCATTTCTATTTCATTTTCTTGTGTCTCTGAGCTTTGAGGAACAGAAGATTCCTGACTTTTTTTTTTTAGATAAAAAAAGGGGTTTCATGAGAAAGCATTCAAGTCCTGTACCCTGAGCCTGCTTTGGGATGGGAACCAAAGCACAGCAAATGAAGATGACTGAGAGAATTGTTTCAGGAAGATCCTTGCTGATTGGCATTAATATTTTAGCATAAACCCACCCAAATTGGTTGGAAACAGCAAAGAAACTTCCTTTTGCTCATCTCTAATTAATTAGGATCCTTTCAGCTGCAGACTGGTGGGTTTAGGGTAACACTGAAGCTACAGAGGTCGGGAATATGGTTTTTGGTAGCACCGTCTTTTTCCTATTTCTGAAGAAGGGCTGTCTATGAAATTTTGCCCTTCACCTTGTTTTCTCACCTGCCAATAAATGCAGCACTAAGTCATCACAGCTCTCAAATGTCTAAAGTCAGAGTAAATTTTATACTAATCTGGTGTGAGGTGGCTGTAACCTCTTGTTTATTTGTGTACTCACGTGTACCTGTTAGATTAATTCATGGAACTGGGACGGTCACACAAGACACAGGCAAACCCCTCCTACAGCAAATTTTGGTTCTGCAGCTCTGCATCTTTCCAGTTTCTTTCCTGCCCTGGGAGAAACTCTGGGGATCATGTCTCTGCCTGAGCCTGCCTTTCTAGACATCAATAGGGGTTGCATTCCCAGCAGGCTGATTCCTCTTGCTCCTTCTCCTCCCAGAGCAGTGCTTTGTGGGGCCCTCAGAGTCCTTTTCCATCCTGGCACCCCTTGGGCATGGCCCAGGCATCTCCCAGCTCTCTGCTGTCAGTCCAAGGGTGTTCAGCAGAGGTGGTCTTTGCTTTGAAGAAATAAAGAACTCCTTGTTGTGGATTATGGGTGTGAAATAAGGATATGAAGTGCTGGCATTTTCCTACCCCAACCCATTGCTTCCAGCACCAACTGTGGCATCCCATGGAAGGAGAGCTGTGCACTGGTCTTTAGGGATTTGCAAAAGAAATAGAAAGGTTTTTTAATTTACTGTGCAGTCTGTATCACCCTCATCTTGTTTATTTTAGTTTTCAGTGCATAGTTGTAAGGTTTTTGAATTACTGAAAGAATTATTTGCTGCTTACCTTTAACATACTTGCACTAGAGGGGCTAAATACCATTACTTCTCACTAGTACATATTTTTTTCCCCACATGAAATGCTAAAAGCATTTCTCCAAAAAAGGGGTCTGGTAACACTTATAGGCATTTATTATTCAAATCTATTTTTAACCAACTAATACCTTCCTACCAAAAAAAAAAAAAAAAAAAAAGCCCCACTTAACTTTTTGAAGGAACTTTATTTTTTCCATTGTGTACTGAATTTATGCTGGGAAAAGCTGTGACAGGTTCTGGACAGCCAACCATGCAATTAGCTGATTCCTTGAGCTATCTGAGGTGAGTGCAGTTTCTAACATCTCAGATAAATGGTTTCTACTTGAGAGTGAGCTGGTTCAAACTGAGTATATTTTTCTGGGGATTTGAGCCCGTTTCTGCTGTTCTGGTGGGTGAGTTTATCCATGTGAATGTTCTCTGGCAGTTAAATGAGTTGAAGGTGTCCCCACTGAGGTTCTGGAGCACTTTCAGAAGTGGTGAAGCTGAAAAGCCCCTCATCCCCCTGTGTGAAACTCAGGGAATTGTGCTGGAGCTCCGAGTGCTGAGGTCAGGCCTGGCCTTGTTAAAGTCAATGGCCTCGTTCCCGTTGACTTCAACAGAGCCAGAATTTCACCCTTTGTTTTTATAACTCCTTCAGGGGATCTTTGGGGAGGGGAGGGAGTATGGCTTTACTGCCAGTGAGAGGAACCTGGCCTCAGCAGAGGATGGAAGCCTGGCCCATTCCAAAGGGGATGTGAGGGTAGGGCATGGAGTCAAGTTATGTGCTGATGGGGCTCTCTGCAGAAGGTTATCAGAGGGAATGGCTTGAGGAAGACAGGGCAGCCAAAGGTGGTGGTGGCATATTCAGAACATGAGGGGTTTGCTGTAGGTGATAAGAAGGAAAAAAGGGGGGTTATCAAACACGAAATAACAGAGAACCCAGAATGGCCTAAATAGGAACAGAAACCTGGAGTGGGTGTAACAGTGGGTGTAGCTGTGTCCATGAAAAGTTACTTTAAAAGTGCAAGGAAAACATAAAATAAGTAAGTACAGATAAAACTGTAGCACAGGGTGAGTGCTGCTGGGAGGGGTGCAGGTCATGCTGTGGAGCCACTCTGCTTGATAGCTAGGAACACCTGGGCTGAAATTCCCAAAATACAGAATTAGATGCAAATCCTTGATCCACTCGGGGATTCCTTACCCTTGCCAGGCAGTGCAATGTGCAGATCTCAGTATGAAGCCTTTTTATTCTCTGAAATCCAAGACTGGCCTATGCAAACATATAAATGGGATTAATGAATGCAGCTCATTACCGGCTCTTGATTGAGACCACACATGCTGATAATCAATCACTCTGGAGTGCTAATGGCTGTGGGTGAGTGACCCCTAACCCAGGCTTTGATGGCCATCTTGTCAGGGACACTGAGCAGAGGGCTCTGGACAGCATCCACCGCTCCGGAAAGCGGGCCAAGGAGCCCTGGCCAGATGCATGTGTTGACTGGAGGAATGATCTATGCTCTGAGGGACAAATTGCCTCCACACTCAGCTTTTTCTTGCCCTGGTGAGAGAAGACCAACTTGGGTTGCGCCAAGGAGGTTTGGATGAGGAGGCCCCGGGAAGGAAGAGACGGGAATTGCGCAAAGGGTGTCGGGGGGAAAGTGCAGCTGGATTTCCCTCGGCAGCAGGGGCTGGCAGAGGTGTTGGTGAATTCCTTCAGATGGCAGTTCCCTGGAGTCACACTGAGGAAGGATGGCAGAGGAAAGCACTGGGTGCTCTATCCCTGTCTCCCAGGGTGCCTGTGGGTGTGTCCTGGGGCAGCTGTTTGTTGGGGAGCACTGAGAGGGGCCACAAGTTGGTCTCCAGGAAGGCCTAGAGTGAAACCACCACACTCTGTTAGGCTCTGCAGTCATGCTGTCTCCACCTTCAGTCAACTTTTAGGAGCATGGCACAAATTTCCATGTTGTCCTGACACTGTATGTCCTCCTTACTTACAGCAACACTAAAAAATATCTCTTTCCTTTAGATCTGGTGAATCCTCGTGACTGGTTTCAATTGGCTGCAACAAAAATGAGTAGATGGAATATTTTTTGCTGTCCCGGAGAAAAATCTAAGGTTATCTCATTAAGATAATTTAGGCAGCCCCTGATCTGAAGCAGGATAGTGCTGGACTCTGAGAAAAGAGCTGTGGGGAAAGATTTGCCATGGAAGCCTGTGGTGGACCCTCTCATCCAGGGCATGAGGTTGTACAGTGGCTGCTGCAGGGGACTCTGGCCTTGCTTCTCAGCTGAGGTTCCCTTAATCCTGACTTCTGTGCCAGTCAATTCTGCAGTAGCTGAGGGTGAGGCAGATTTCCCCTACTCCCTCCATGCCGGCCCCGAAATATAGAGCCTTTTGTTTGGACTAAAAATTACAAATTCAAGTGGTTCATTTTTGAATAGCGAGAGAAATTAAAGCCAGCTGGGCCTGGGATGGCTGAAACGAGTCAGGTTCCCGGAGCATTTGTATTCATGGCTGACAGTGGGGCTTTGGAGGGTCCTCTGAGCACAGGTTTGTTGCTCTGCAGGAGGTTGGGTGCAGGGGGTGACAGCCAGAGGTTTGTAGCAGTTGCCTCTTGGCTGCTGAGGTGTCACTGTCATTTAGTCGTGTCCCTCAGCCCAGAGTTCAGTGCAACTCTGCTCACCTGACACCAGTAGAGAAATTCAGACTGGTAGATCCCCAAACCCTGCTGCTGTTCCCCAGTGCTGCTCTTCCAAAGAACCTCTCACCTTGTCTGCCTTCCTCAGCTCTCTCCCACCTCTGGGTGTTCTCCCAGAGGTGTCTCTGCTATTGATTCACTCTGGATCCCAACTCCAGGTACCCTGTGATTGCCAGGGCCTGGGTATGTTTGTTCCCTGATTAAAATGCTGCTGGGAATGGTCAGACCTGGTGTAGACTATGGACCACCAGTCTGGAAGGGTTGGGAGATGGATTTTGATAGCCTTGCTCATGTTCAATAGTGTGAAATAATTTTGGAGGGTGGAGGTTGTGGCTGTACTAGAGAGAGGCAAGAGTGTGATTGATGGAAGAACTGCTCTGTCTGAATATTGGCAATTCTCCCTTTGGTCTCTCCTGTGATATTTTGACATTTTGGCTCAGCTTTAGCCCATCAAGAGATGTCCAAAAGGGGGTTGTATGTTTGAGGCAGCAAGGATTGTGTTCTCCTGATTAGGGCAGGGCAGGAACTGGTGTGTCTGCAGATAATTAAGGAGTAGCACAGAGCGTGCAGTGCAGAAAAGTCTATTCCCAAAACAACTCCATTCCTTACATCTCATGGATCTTGGGCCTTTGATATTGCTTTGGCTATCTCTTGCTGTGGGTTTCCTTCAGCAACGGGCTTGGATGCTCAGTTTTGACAAGCAGCCAGACGTTTTCAGTTCCCCCAGAAAGGTCACTGAGAGTTGGGCTGGATATCTCACTGCAAATCTCACGACTCTGGGTCTTCTCAGGAGGTTTCCTATTCTCCAGGTTTTCCCTTGGCCAGTTGGAACTGTTAACAGCTGCCTTTGTTTCACCACTGCTGGACCTGGACCAGACATGGAAGCAGGCGTGTGTGTGCTGCAGAAATCTGTGACTGTGGTGTATTGTCCCTACAGTGAGAAAACAATTGTAATTTGCCAGTTCTGTCTTGTGATCTCAGTCACTTTTCTAGGAGTTGCAAACTGCAAAAGATGCTGCAAAGGAAGAAAATTTCAGCATCTATTAAGGAAAAAAAAATGGGACAGGTTGTTCAGTTTGCTGGTTACAACATTAAAATATGTG